ATTCGTCGATGTTGCCGCCGCCACGTCATTTTTGACAAACTTCTTGGCACGTATCTCGGTAATACTGATCAGAATTTTTTTTTGTCTTATTACCTTCACAAAAATATGCTCTTTAATTCTGTAAGAATTTTTTTAAATTTCTTGGACACTGGAGCACCACTTCAGATTTTGGCCTTGGACCCTGAAGGGGTTAAAAGCATTGAATAACCAAATAATTCTATTGTATTTAAACATACAGCTCGACTAATCTGAGACTGGATCCCCGAGAGAAGTAAAGTTGGATCCCATTAACCTCAGCACCATTATATTGTAAAAAAAAAAAATTCCAAGAGGCAGGACAAGGCACGTTTTCTCACATTCAGTGGTCATCTAAACGAAAAAGTAATAACAGCCATATTATCAAGCAGTACCAAAGATCTGGAAACAGTTGTAGTGCACTTTATAGGACTGTTGGTTTACCATGGGTGTAGGACAGTCTGGTAGCCTAAAAACAATTAGGCTGTGGTGTACACCAAAGATTTTGTGGTGCACCTGTCTGGCTATGCTTATGCACATTTACTAACCCTCGAGGAGTACCTGTTGTGTAATTTTAAGCAAAATTTAGAATTCGCCTATGTCTTAATTGTAAGAACAACTCAAGTTTGCTTTTGAGAATTTTTTTTTTCTTAAAACTTAGTCATTGGTGGCCTGGTGGTTAACACTCGCTTCACACGGTGAGGGCCTGGGTTCGATTCCCAGCCAGAGTAGAAACATTGGACGTGTTTCTTTCCACCTGTTGTCTATGTTCCCCATCAGTAAAATGGGTACCTGGGTGTTAGTGGACTGGTGTGGGTCGCATCCTGGGACACTGACCTAAGGAGGCCTGGTCACAGACCGGACCGCGGGGGCGTTGATCCCCGGAACTCTCTCCAGGTATCTCCAGGTTGTCATGGTGTGACTTGTCTGTTAGATGAATTAACTTTAATGAAGATGTAAATACCCAGTATGTAAAAGTGAAGCTTAAACCTATAAAAGATATCTATTATTTAAATTTTAGTTATTTATTGTAAGCAATGTGTATTTTTTTTTACACGTCTGTAGTTACATAAATGAACTAATAAATAAGTTAACCATGTCAGTTATTTTTTTAGAACCCTTTCTTTTTTTACCTCATGAAAATTCCACTTGACCTATAGCATTATATTTTTAGCAATAAAAATCAATTTTATTAGTTTAGGGGTGTGTCAGCATATTGGTATCTAGTATCTACAAAAATTTTGGTATCATCCCATCCCTAATAAAATCGCACCACAGGTCCTCCTTGAACATCGTAATATACTGTTTGAGGCGTTAATCGTAATTTTCATAGTGTTTAGTGCTACTTAACTCAATTACCGGGTGTGGAATATTTTCTCGTTCATTAAAAACGGTGGCATTTGAGTGTGCACACTAACAGTGGATAGTTTGATATGAATTGCTCTGTAAATGATTGGCTACTGTTTTAATTTTCTTGAATACAGCCTTTTTTTTTTTTTTAATATGGGTTAGACTTTTCAAAATGTGGGATGAAATACTCGTTATTTTTAGAGGCATTTGTTAAACTAGTTTTGCCAAATTGCATTTTTATTTCTAAAAGATCATAACACAGGGTTGGGACAATGAATACAATGCAATGTAAATGTTAGGGAAAAATATCCTGCTAATACACTTGATGCATAAAATTTTATGCCAATAAATTTTAAACAGAATATTTAAAATTTTGAGTTCAATACCAATGAAATTTACTTAATCTACAATATTTGCAGTGTGTTTTAAAAGGCACTGCTTCACAATTATGCAATATCTCCAACTAGAAAGTCTCTAAAGATTAATACCTTATTTTTTGTGCAGTTATCAAGGTTCATAGAACTGTTTGTACAGTGTGTGTTACGGGCCTGTGTGTTTTGTACATGTACGCTGATGTTTGTATTTAACTGTTAATGTTGCCTACCTCTATAATGTTCAAGTTGACATTGATTAGGTCTGGCATCCATATTACAATTGAATCGTGTATATTACGATCAAGCTCATTCTGCTTTATTACCCGTAAACTGTAAACAAAGTTTTCATGTCCTTCATGACTAATTTGGGTGTTCAGCTTGACATTTTTTGTCCTGGACCTTCCCATGTCAAACAGCCTGTCAGTGCCTCCCTTGGTTGTGTCCCAATGTGTTTTATACAGTCCTATCTTTTCCTTTATATGCATTCCTCAAGTCATGAGATTGTTTATAAAATCTTTCCTTATAGATCTCACCTCTGTTGTGGTATCAATCTAGTGACCCAACACTGAACTTGTTCCACTGTGGTACCTCTCTAAAGCACCATACTCATATTTACTATAAGCACATTTCACTCTCGCCATCCTCAAATTGAAGCCTAGTCTTGCTGCTCGTTTTCACTTTCATCTTAATTTTGTAATGTTCTGGCCCATCCCCTTTGAATAGCATTTGCCTTAATACCAGAGTATTTTGAGTTATGATTGTCCCCTTTTATTTTATATTTCCAGCATTTTAAGATTTGACTCTCTAAACCTGTCCTTGCAAATCTTGTCCATAATTTAAAGCGCTTGACCTTCTAGTCAATTCCTTTTCTTTTTTGAGCTTTATTTTATAAATCTGAGGAAGGATGAACTCCATGAGAGTGTTACCACCATAATTCTGACCTCGTGCAAGTTTGTGTGCATCATATTGGAGTTTTTGCTGAGGTCTCTGAAGACTATTCTTGTATTAATTCCATTGATATTATACTGTTTGTGGGTCTCTAGTAATAGGTTAATTGTTTTTTTTTTTTTTTCATGCCTTGTCAACCAGTTTGGTACTATTTTTCACCTCCCTATTGTGGTCACATTACACTTTTGAGGGTTGAATGACCTTAGGTAGACATTTCATTATACTGTACTTGCAATCTGTCCATGTCACTCAGTGTTGGCAGTCATCCTCTGAATGTTTTCTTTGCATTAGCTTTACATCATATATACTGTAAGGATGGACATAACGTAATCAATTTATCGTATCCTTATAGGCCGGTTTTCAGTCTGATGGAGTACCCAATCTTATCTTAACCAAATTTCTTTGTCCATAAATTTGTTGCCTGAGGCATCTGAAGTAAGTGCTTCATGAATGTGTCAACTTTTACCTGTGAGACACCATACCAAACTCCAGGAATTAGGGGATAAGTGTGAGTAGAATACACTACCCATCCTTCCTCTTATCAATTTGTAATTAACTATTTGTCATTGAAAGAGTAATGACATGTTCTTCCTGTCCTGTTTTTTAATCTTTCAGTGGTTGTGTATACTAAGCTTCTTCCAGTTTACTACTATAATTTAAACAGTATGTACTCTATTAGATGTGTTTGCCAGAATTGAGCTTTATCAGTCAACCTACTGTATCACTGTGTGTGCTGTGCATGTGTACAGTATTTACAAATTGTATGTATTTGCTTTGGCATATGCGTACACGTAGACAGCCATGAATCTGTTGCCGAGGGATTCAACATCGTACTTGGAGATTTGCCATATGGGTGAAAGAGGGAAGGGGTCAGCACTGTTATTAATGCTTTGTTTATCCTGATACAGGTTAAATCAAGTAATAACAGATAGTACATCAAATGACATTTGAAATTCCCAGTCTGGCTCAAACTGCTGCCAAACTTCTCCAGTCCTCTCCAGCCACTAACTTGAAAATTTGCATATTAACCAGTAAACGGTCCAAATGTGTGTGTGTATATATATAACGTTTTTACCGCTAGTGCCCCAAACATATATATACAAGTTTTATTTGTCATACATTCAACATTGCCACAATAAGCCTGAGTCGCCTAGACATGAGAGAATGGGTGTGCGCACTCACTGTGTGCCATATTAAAATAATTGGGGATGCCTGGGTACCATATGCTCTTTTCCTATTAAAAAAAAAACTTTTTCTCAAAATTTGGGGCACTACGCGAGAGAACGTATATATGCGTTTGGACCGTTTACGGGTTAATGGAAGTACACTCGGGGATACATAGCATTTGGTGATACACCAAAATGTATTTCTTTTCTAAAGAAAAGTCCAATCTATTGGGAGTTATCCCTTCTAAGGAGGTGCCTTGATTGAAGTAGATACATACTGGTATTTTTCCCATCCTTGGATTAAACTTGATTTCTCATTCTCAGGAGTATGACCCTTATGGATTTTGCATCCCTTGTCTTCAACCCTCAAACTGTCCAAACGTAGATCTACGTTCACTCGCATAGTGCTCCGAACGTAGATCTACGTTTTTTTTTTTTTACATAAAAAAGCGTGTAAAATTGAATGTCGATCTACGTTCTGAGCGTTACGTGAGCAAACGTAGATCTCCATTTGGACAGTTTAAGGGTTAATTCAAGAGAATTGTCACTAAAATTAAATCTTATCTACAATCATCATACTAATAAAATACAATATATACTACTGTGTTTCTATATATTTTTTGGAAGAAATTAATTTGAACTTCATCTTATTGAAGAAATGGCCAATTAGCAGTTAGGCCTATGGTAGCCATCCCTTCATGTTGTAATCTTTAATGTTGGTTAAATGTTAACCATAGTAAAACTTCCACAACTACATATGCTCCTCGCTTTATGATGGTTCGAAATGTGATATTTTGGCTTTACAATGGTGCAGTGTAATGTCAAAACAAATAATTTTGTACTGTACAGTACTGTACATTTATTGATAGAATAAACTTGTATTCGTTTATTTACTTTTCAATGCTGATATTTAGTTAGAGTAATTATATGTTCACTTATTCAGTTACGGTATTTATCATTCATATTTGACTTGGTATATTTTAAATTTATGATGGGTTCATATGAACAAATGCCATCATAAGTCGAGGAGCACCATCTTAAGCCACTGTTTTACATCTAGTACATGACTATGTACATTTGGTATAATTGGTGATGTCTTGCCTCTGAATAATTCTGTATTTGTCACACATGAATGTTCTTTTACAAATGACTGGAAGAAAGTTGAAATCTTTACTACAAGTATTTATAAAGTGTACTACATATTTATAACAGTATTGTCTTCAACTTTTTGATTGGGTACAATTTATATATTTTGAGACATCTATTCAAAGAGCTCTATATCATACTTGTATACTTCTAAAAGTCCTTCCATTTGTTTCTTGGACGCTGGCAGAGGAACTTGTCAGCTACTTCTTCTGTTGGCCCATTTCTTGATCGGTTGATTCTCTTTGGTTTAATCACATCTTCTATGCCTGTTAATTCAATTTTAATTGATTAGGAGTTAATGTTGAATCAATAGTAATAAATGAACACAAAAAAGCTTGCCTGTATAATTAGAAAAAGAGAAAGGTTAGTCAATATCAGTATTTCAATCACTACATCACATACACGAGGATGTCCATATAAATGGTTGATTAAGACTAAGTGAACACTTTCAAGGCTGAGGGACTGGTTACCTTCCACTGTCGTCTGTACGTATTCTCTGTATTATGAAAACTTGTGCAACAGCTGGGTATCTATTATGTTTCAACATGTCAGTCATCATAGACTTGGTATTATATAGACTGCTTGGCATAGATAGAAACAATTTTTTTTTTTTAAATGTTATGCAAATTATATATTCTTAAGCATGATACAACTGAAGACAGGGACTGGGATGATTAAAAAAATGTACCTGCTGGTAATGAGTTAACGGTTTGGCTAAGGGCAGTGGTGATGTCATGTTTTGAGATTGGTGTGTGAACATTATGAAGAATATATATGGAGTATATGAAAGATATAATTCAGAGGGTGGAGAATAGTGACCAAGAGTGTGTATAAATTCAGGGTGGATGGGTCATTCCACGAAGAGTTGGATGGAGTGGGTGAAGGTTTTAGTTAGGGTTTTGAGTATCCAGCAAGTGTGTAACCTGCACAAGTAGGTGAATAGAGGGAAGTGGTTTTGGAAATTTGACACATGAAGGTAATGTGAATGCATTCAGTGAAATTGAGTTCTGGAGGTGGAATGTACAGTGATTGCAGCTGTCAACCTGCTGAGCGAGTGTTTATTTGGGTTTCCTTCCTAACCTCCAAGTCTCTAGGATCTGTAAAGTACACAATTCTTCCATTTCTGTTTTTTTCCCTTCAATTCCTTGTGGTTTATTTTTTCCCCTTTCATTCCCAGTCCTACAGATCATTTTCAGCTGTATCATTACTGTTGTGTACCCTGTACATTCATAGGTCCAAATTCTTTTCTGGAATGGGCTCCGGCTGTTATTCTGATAGCATGATACACGGAAAACTAAATCTGCAAACATTTTCACAATGGTTTTGTGATGGAGAAAATGCTTCCTACACCCAACAGACAATACTGTCATGCATCTTTGAGTAAAATTAGTGGATAAAGCTTCTGCCACTTTGGGTACTGACATTAGGCCAGAACAGTTGTTGCTACTAGTGGTAAGGGGTGGATGTGTAGGTCATGGAAACAAATGCATTGATGATCATTAGAAAATGATAAGAGGAACAAGGTGAGAATATATATGTACCCTACTGTTTTACAGAGATGGGTAGTCAGATATAAAGGAATTAAAGGGAAAATGATAGGAAGAATGTCATCAATTGGGGATGGAATGGATGAGGTGAATAAAATGATACACAATGTTTTAATGTATGAAATAAAAATTCAGCTATTACAGATTGCAATAGTGTAATGAGTATTTCATATTTGCCATTTTGAATTAAATGGCACTCCAAAACATTTTTAAGGGGAAGTGCCTTGGTGAAGGACTTTTTTTTTTTTTTTCAAATGTGATTACCTTCTATTCCCAACCTATCCAAACAAAGTTAGAATTCCAACTGTTTATAAACTGTCAGCATGTCACTGTTGGATAGATATGCTTATAGATTCGTGTAGAATTATCCTTGCATCTTATTCGGTAAATTTCTCAGTTTACATTGAATGGGTTTAGATTAAAAATTAACCAATTATACCACAAAGCCAATAAATTAAATATTACATAGTGATATTCTTGAAGCATGAACAGAATATGGGAACTTGCTGAGTGCACTCGGATAATCACTGTAAAAGGGTCCTAAATACACCAATTTGACTAACAAATATTAAGATGGGCTGTAGTCAGCCACACAAGTACTGCATGGCCTACAGGTTTAGAATTTCCATGTACTGTAATGAGGTTTTAGCATATAATTTATCAGGGAATGTGACTAGCAGTTAAAAGAAAATTTGTGTTGATTTACAATTTTTAGAAGAAATTTGTGTAAGCATTAAATAGTGTAATTGGTACTTTTGCCTTTTAAGGAAGGTCCCTAGGTGCTGGTGAGGGACTCTTGATCTAAAGAATTGGACCTATAATCCATTTTTTTTAATTAGGCACTGTATGACCGCCTCAGTTATGTAATACAGGTACTCCTCGACTTAATGGGGTTACATTCCGATGAACCCATCGCAAGTAGAATATGGATATACAGTATGCTAAAGAAATGAGTAACTAGTCGGTGAATAAATGAACAATTACTGTAAATACCAGTACTGAAAAGTGAATGCAAGTTATAGACTTGCCACCTTCATGCTGGGTAATTTTCATCTCCAGAGTAATCGCTTTTGCACCATTGTGAAGTAAAAGTAATGTAAGGTGAGCAGTACCTGTAATTGATATTTTCTGAAAACTGCCAGGGCAGGTTTACAGTGCCATATTCATAACCAAAGTTGTCATGAGAATACCTGCCAGTGTGAATAATTCATAAGTTTTCCATGGTAGCCTATTCTTTCTTTTGAGAAAATGACCCTTGTGGTTTAGCACTTTTTGATTATAATTGAGAAAATGTGGCAGTCAGAGAATGGGGACAGAAGTCCTGGAAGCATGTTTACAGGGTCACCACTGAGCTACTCTCGACTGTCACACTCGTTATTTCCTCAGTGTGTGGGCAAGTTGGACATTTTACACTGTACATGTACAGCCAAATTTTACTAGGATATGTTGACTAGAAAATAGTGAAAAATCTTAATGCAACTGAAATGTCATGGTAAAGTAGGTAAATGTACTTTTTTGTTACTTTAGAAACTTGGTACTAGTTAATGACATAAAGCAGCTTTATGCTGTTGATATAGTACGTATATTAAATTGCAATGCTGCACCTTAACAGTAAGAAGGCCCCATTTGAGGGTAAAGTGTTCTTGATCCAAAGAATTACAGCTACCTTAGTCTAACCAGCTGACCTTCCATTCTTCAGGCACTAACTCCCCCATGTGGGTTCAGCACTTATTGATATAGCAAGAAGGAATGGGTAGGAGTTCATTTTGATGCTTCCTGATTACCTCCTGGGAGGTAAACAGATACCATCAAAAGAGGAAGGCAGGCAGTTTTGGATCAAGAGCCCTTCCCGTTTTGAAGGAAGGTTTGTCATGTTTGTATTAACCACTTGCTGTATGACCCATAAGTGTTTAGCACTTCTGACTATATAAAAAAATGTATATATATGAAAGACACGTGTCAATTTGCACTGAAACAAGTGCTTTGCACATTGTACAGCTTAAGTCATGATGAGATAAAGTTCAACTGAGTCGAATGGTTTCAATAAAAATTTGTGACCTATTGATGTCGTCATTATTATTATAATCAAAAAGAAGCGCTAAGCCACAAGGGCTATTGATGTCGTCAGCAGTTTGTCCTTGGATGATGATAAATGTAATTTAAATATAATTTGTCAGTACGCGGGTAGTCGGTTTCATCCTGTACATAGGCTGCTTTTGTGACCACACAAAAGTAGCACAAACATTTAAGCTAAAGTGTCAAGTGTTACTTTCATGAGTTAATGAACATTCAATTAATTTGGTTTGTCATGAGAGCTCGCAAAAGTATCAAACATGCAGTGTAGAGTAGGTGTCACATTACTATTATGAACTCACGAAAGTAGCACTTGAAAATTTAAGATACGACTCGTACTACTTTCACAAAAGTAACTCATTGACTCTGGCTTGTATGTTTATTGTGAGGTCACGAAAGTAGCCCCTTTAAATTCACTTAAGCAGGATGTCTGTCCTGTTCTTAAGAGTTCGCAAAATGTGCGCACAGCAAACTTCTAGGAACAAATGTTACTTTTGTAGTCACATTAGTGGTTGAAATGGGTGGAAGTGTTACTTCCATGAATACAGTCAGTGTTGGATGCCTGGGCTACTTTCATGAACTCCCCTCTGGATCCAAAGTATTAATTACTTTTGTTCCTCCCCACGAAAGTAGCATTTGAAATGGAAGTGCAGCTATACTTTTGAGGGTTCAGGAAAGTTCAAATTTTTTGTTGAGTGTGTTTTGCTAGTCTGAAAGTAGCAAAATGAAATTGCACCCCTTCCCTCCCCTGCTAGCAATCACAAATCTTACAAAAGTAGGAAAAACAAGAAAGACATTTTCAGGAAGGTTAGACCCCCACCACCACACAGAAGTAGCACTAGGATCAAGCAGCAAAAATAAGGGTGGGGGGTGGAAAGACTTGCAAAAGTAGCAAGTATGAGAACCTCTTTCATGAAAGTTTGGCCCATGCAAAAGTAGAACTTCAAGGTTGTACCCACACGAAAATAGCACTTGAGGAAAAAAAGCACTGAGCGTCCTAATAAAAAATGTAAGTAGCAATTATGAGAGGAGCCTTTCTCGTGAAGGCTGGACACCCCACGAAAGTAGCACTTGGCTGGTGGACCCACACGAAAGTAGCACTTGAACCAAAACCTTGATATTAAGCGCCTTGAAAATAACTTTTAATGAATGTTGTACCCACACGAAAGTAGCACTTGAAGGTTGGACCCACACGAAAGTAGCACCTGAACCTAAAATTAGCTTTTTCGTGAAGGTTGGACCCACACGAAAGTAGCACTTTGAACCAAAACCTTGATATTAAGCGCCTTGAAAATAACTTTTAATGAATGTTGTACCCACACGAAAGTAGCACTTGAAGGTTGGACCCACACGAAAGTAGCACCTGAACCTAAAATTAGCTTTCGTGAAGGTTGGACCCACACGAAAGTAGCACTTTGAACCAAAACCTTGATATTAAGCGCCTTGAAAATAACTTTTAATGAATGTTGTACCCACACGAAAGTAGCACTTGAAGGTTGGGACCCACACGAAAGTTAGCACCTGAACCTAAAATGAGCTTTTTCGTGAAGGTTGGACCCACACGAAAGTAGCACTTTGAACCAAAATCTTGATATTAAGCGCCTTGAAAATAACTTTTAATGAATGTTGTACCCACACGAAAGTAG